GTGCTGCGTCGGTAATGTTAAACGGATGAGTTAGAAGTCGTTGATTATCTCAACACTCCCATCAAATGACTACTTGCTCATACCTGAAACAAACAAAAAAGGTAAATCTGCAAACAGCAAAGTGATTGACCTGTTGTCCAAGTCAGAGATGAAGTGTCATTCGTTCTTGAAGACGTGAGCATTCTTCATGCCGATGGCACTCCTCAATTTTTGGAAATGTTCACGTGGTAATGCCTTAGTCAATATGTCTGCCTTTTCGTGCTTGGAGTCGTCGTACTCGACGGCTATGGCATTATCCTCAAGCTTCTCTCTGATGTAATGGTACCGAATGTCTATGTGCTTTGTCCTCTTGTGATAATCTTGATTCATGGCTAGTCTTATGGCTCCTTGATTGTCAACTTTCAAAGTAATTGGATCACTGCATATCCTTGGATTCAGATCTTGAAGTAAGTTTCGTATCCACACTGCTTCTTTGCTCGCCTCACATGCTGCCACATATTCAGCTTCCATGGTTGATAAGGAAACACATTTTTGTCTTCTGCTGCTCCATGTCACAGCGCCGTTCCCTATCTCAAATAGGTAGCCCGAAGTTGACCTTCTAGTTCCGATGTCGTTTGCGTAATCTGAGTCGCAATAACCTTTCACTTCTGGTTTAAGGTTAACCTTTATATATTCGATTCCATAGTCGGTGGTGTTTTTGAGATATTTAATGACTCTTTTGAGTCGCATTCTAATGGCTGTCGTTGTGGTTGTTGGCAAATCGACTTAGGTAAGATACTGCGAATGCAATGTCCGGACGACTTACAATTGCTGCAAACATGAGACATCCGATCGCTTCACGATAGGGAATGTCTCTCCCATCACTTTCTTTCGATTCAGACTCATATCTGTCTGGTGGGTGTAAGTTGTCTCTGGAACGCAGTCCGTACCGTTTTTCAACTGATTGCTTCGGTTCGTCGGCTTGATCTTGCTCGATTTGTCGATTTTCAGTGCATTGCTGCTGTGGCTCCTTTTGGGTTGAAGGATCATCTGTCTCTTGAACGGTGTTATTTGAAAGATCGATACTGATCGTTGAGCTGTCTTCTGCGAACTTATACTTTGATGGGACTTCATTGAATAACACATCTCTGGATATTTTAATCTTTTTGGTGACTGGATCAAAGAGACGGTAATTCGTGGACTCGTCGTTATATCCAACAAGAACCATTTGTTTGGATTTCGATGACAGTTTGTCTCTGAACTGTTGGGAACATGCATATAGGCCATACTGCCAAAAACTCTTAAATGCGACAAGGATGGTTTGCGATCTGTCCACAACTCAAACGGAGTGGTATTTGGTTTGCATAGTCGCGGTCCTGTTCAATATGTAAACAGCCGTATTGAAAGCTTCGGCCCAAAGATATTTCGGCATGTCCTTGGCGATGATCATCGAATGAGCACTTTCTATTATTGTCCGCATGTCTCTTTCGGCTCGCCCGTTTTGCTCAGGCGTATAAGGAGCTGTCGTCCCATGCCTTATTCTTTTCTTCTTTAAAAAGTTCCTCATGTCTTCATTGCAATACTCCGTACCGTTGTCAGTATGAAGAGTCTTCACTTGCCGCTTGAATCTGTTTTCTACTTCGGTTAGAAATTCTTTAAATTTCTCAAATGTATCTGATTTGTGTCTTATGAAGACGCTTATTAGACGCTCCTATAACCAGTGCAGGCGTCTTTGAAAACTACAAGAAACTTAGATCCTCTGAGTAAAGCTGTTGACATTGGTCCACACAAGTCACTGTAAATTTTCTCGCCTGGTTCTGGCCGCTGGTTATCGTTCGATTGAGAGAATGGCAGTCTGTGTTGCTTCCCTTTCACACATGATTCACAGAAGAAATTTGAGCTTGTGTCAGAAAGTTTGATTCCTTGAACTAGATTCTTGTTCATCATTTCATGAAGCGCTCGCTTGTTAATGTGACCTAACCTAACCCTAACCCTTTCGTGCCATACTTGCAGGGTCTCGCTTGTGGTTAGATTTATTTCACTTGACGGAACTGTACGTAACAACATTCGATATAAATTATTTGCTTCTCTAGTTGCATTGGCTACTAACCTGTTTCCGTCGTAGATGCAGTGTCAAGTAAGGATTCAGGGGCATGAGGATTTGCTCGTTCAATAAGTATCACAAATCTCCTTTTACTCGAATACAGGTTTTATTGTCTCGCACGTCCAACAACAACAATGATCACGCTCTCGCTCGCACGCTGTATGCGCTTCCCGCTAGAAACGCCACGCCTCTTAGAGTTCGGGAACTACACCCGGTCAGGTTTTTTACCGTCCGGAACATCCTTCCCCCTTCGCGAGAAAAGAAAATATTTTGATGGAGCGTTTGTCGTATCACGAAGTGATTAGCGCTGGGTTGCTTTATAATAAAAATGAAGTACATGTAACTTATAACTACTGCTTAAAACGATTAGGCCTTTTTACCACACGTCCCCTTCGGGTGGTGGTATTCTTCGGATCGTCTGTTTGTCGCTTACCAACTAAAGGAACATTATTCTTAGAATTAGATTGTTCCGCTCCTGAGTTTATCTGGTTATTGACCTCTTCGCAATGTGCTTTACCACGTAAATCGCTTACGGCCCCTGATTCGTCTTGCGGAATTTCTAACGGGTAAACTCTTTGTATTGGCCTTTTAAATACGCCATTTTTGGTTTTCAGAACGACTACTCTTCCTTGGCCATCTCGACCTGGAATCATCTACTACGCGTGCAAGAGGCCAGTCTATACGTCTGTGCATGTTGTCACCAATTAAAACGATATCACCGATTTTGGTCTTCCGAGTTTCTTTCTTTCCGTTTTTCAACAGCAGTTGACCCAGATACTCCGTACGAAATCTCTTTCGAATATCTTCAAAAACCTTCTGCCGGTGTTTGAGTTTTGTGTTTAGTTTTGCTCGATAGAGCATGTCACAGTCAGGAACACCATATTCCTGAATGTCTTGGAGGAACATCGATGGTGACAAAGGTTTTAAATCGCACGGATCTTCTGATATTTAAGTAAGCGGATGACCGTTGATTATCGCTTCTGCATCACAAATGATAGTATGCAAAGTTTCATAAGAAAGACTCGCTTTGCCTAGGATTTTCCGGAGCAGCGTCTTTAGGATTCCTATCAATCTTTCCCACCAGCCACCCCACCATGGTGCTGCTGGGTTAAAATGCCATTCAATTTGTATTGCTGAACTATATTTACTAATTTTTTCCCAATTTAACTTGTTCAACACGTTAGCTGCACCCGTAAAGTTAGTTCCGTTGTCGCTGTATATGATACGAGGACGTCCGCGCCTTGCTACGAATCTGCGTAAACATTCTAGGAAGCCCTGTGTGGATAGCGTCGATGCTAGTTCAAAATGTACTGCCCTGTACACCGCACATGTGAAAATGCAGATCCATGCCTTCCCTTCCCCCCGCAAAATTAAAGATCCTGCGAAATTTATACCAACCACTTCAAAAATTGCTGCATCGCGAGCCCGATTGAGCGGTAAAGGAGAGGCATCGCTTTCCATACGTCTTGCCTTTTGTCTTTTACAAATTACGCAATTTGCTATAACTGATTTTATTACTTTGCGAAGCGAAATGATCCAGAATCTTTCTCGTAGATTTGTCATAATTATTTGTGTCCCCGCGTGACCCATGAATTCATGGTATTCTCGAACTAACAGGTAAATGATGTCGTCATTATTTAGCAAAAGAATGGGACACCGAAAATTGTAATCGTCCGCTCGATTAAAAATCTTAGTTTTTAAAATATATAAACCGTTTTCATTTTTCATCGTTTTAAAGGATGATAATTTATTCTTGGATACAGAATTGAACATGCGGCATTGTAAATGTTCGAATAGCTTAATTTCAGCTGCTTTTGTCTCTGTAAACGTTAGGCGTAGTTTTTTACGATCTATTTCCGGTAAATAAACTGTTTTATACGTCACGCGTTTTAGGATTATTCTCTTTCAACGTTCTTTTTTTATCTATTATTTTCCTACGGTTACTGAAAAACCTATGCATCCATGCCAAGAAACGTATGAGTTTGTTATAGGATGAAAAATAATCCCTGGCTTTGAATTCGGAAATTTCGCCATTGACTAGATGTACGGAAATTGACTTTGTCATCTCATTCCCTATTTCCTCCTTCTTGAAGTTTAGATCTGCCATTGGCCAGTCGGATTCCATTTTGTACAGCCATTTCGGACCTAACCACCATTCGGATTGTACTAACCGCGAAGGGCTACAACCTCGTGAAGGTAGATCTGCGGGGTTCAATTCCCCGGGAACGTATCTCCAGTCGTTTGGCTCGCTGAGCGATCGAATTTCTTTTATCCTGTTCCACACAAATGTACCCCATTGAATGTCTCGTTTAATCCACGCCAAAACCGTAGTGGAATCGGACCAGAACATTGTTTTCAAGACTTTACGTGTTAAAGACGCTGCTACGGCAATGGTAAGTCAACGGCTATAGTAGCCGCCATTAATTCGAGACGTGGAATCGTAGTCTTCTGAGGCGCTATACGAGACCTAGCGCTCAAAAGACTGATGCTTACGGAATTTTCACCTTCGACTCTTGCAAAAACCGCCGCGGCATACGCCAGTCCGCTCACATCACTAAACGTACGTACACAACGCAACGTTAAATTTTCTCTACCGAGTTTTCTAGAGATTTTAATCTGATTCAATATGGGTAACTCTTTTAGCCAGTTATTGAATTTTTCCCCTCGACTATCTACAATTTTCACGTCCCAATCCATTTTCTTTACCCATAAATCTTTCAGTAGCAACTTGGGTGGCAAAGACACAAGGCACGTGAAACCAATGGGGTCAAAAACTTTGTGCGTTGCAGACAAGATTGTTCTCTTGGTCACAGTATCAGTCTCGTTAACTTTTAACATTGCCGGATTTATCGATATTGTGTCCTTTCTTTTGTTCCACAAGGTGCCTAAAACGAGACTTATCTCACCATCCGTCGAATCACCCGAGACTTTCCATCTCCGTAACTCGAAACCGCCCGCCGTCATAATCGATGGCTTCTTGTATAAATTCCTTTACTTCGCGATCCGAATTTGCACTCGTGAGGCAATTATCGACGTAGAACGACTGTTTTAATTTCTCTGCTGTACTACGAACTTTTCCGGCGTATTCCAGATATGACGATAAATATAACTCAAGAATAGCTGCTAATAAAAAGGGGCTACATGCTAGGCCAAAAACTACCCGGCAATGACGAAAAATCACAATTTCGTTATTTACTACCCAGAAGAAACGAAGGTAATCGCGATCAGTCTCGTTTACGGTAATCTGTAAGAATACTTTTTTGATGTCTGCCACAATACCGATTTCTCCTTCTCGAAATCTATTTAAGGACGACGGTATTAGTTCGATTAAGTTCGGGCTCGTTTCCAAACACTGGTTTAACGACGGGTAACCCTTCTTGCAAGCAGAGGCGTTAAATACTGGTCTTATTTTCGTCGTGCCATGGGTCTTTACTACCGGGCGATGCGGCAGGTAATGGCAGACAACGTCATCTTTTCCAGGCGCCTTCTCGATGACACCAGCCATTCCTTAAAAACATTATCGTATGTTTCAAAAAGGTTTTGCGTTTTGAATCTTTCAATACATTTTTAATCTATTACGAGCGATATCGTAGTTACTTGAGACCGGCGTATGATCCTCTCTCCACAGTAATTTGACCTCGTACCGACCATCCGGGTTCAACTTCGCTGTTTTCTTTAAGAACTTTCAAGTTTGTTCGTCTCTTACCAATTTACTCGCCTTTTCGATCGGATCTGTGATTCCAATGACATCTAAACGTCATAAGTCGGACGGACTAGCCTCCTGCACGAAAAGTGTCGTAACCATTGTCGCTGTATCTGGTTTCGACGACACCTTCGGTAACTTTCCCATCACGGTCCAACCTAGATGAGTTTCACAAGCAGTTAATTCGTTTTTTAAATTATGTTTCTGATCGGTCATTAATTTCCCCGCTACATCTGCACCGATAAGAATACCAATGGAACTGTTTTGGTTGCCAATGTCAGTCAAAATAATGTTTTCAGTACGTAGCTCTTCGACCCACGTATCGTTTTTAATGCTCGGGATGGTACCGCAAATAGTATTTTGAGTCATCGCAGTGAAATTGCATTCATATGAATCATCTAGATTGTGACAATCTTGCGTTTCGCGGGTTTTCTCCGTGTTCAGATCCATTCTTGGAATGTCAACGTTTCGTGAACCTTGCAGTTCACTTCATCAGGGCGAGGAGCAGCCTGATACTAAGCTGTTCTCCCGGGTCGTTCCTTTTATATTACGCTGCTTGTGTGGGGGGGAGGAGGGGGGAGAAAATTGTGAGTCAAGGGGGGGAGAGGAATTCGGCCGGTTTTCAATAGCCGGGAGGATGGTCTTCCATATTTTATTTATATTGTAGCCATTATCTCTATTTAGATTGTTAGGGTGTTTTTGTATTTCTATGGCTTCTCTATACTTTCTTCGAAAGTATGATGCAATGTTGGCTATTGTGGTCGTTTTATCGAACTGTATTTGATGTCCTGCTTCGATATTGTGTTCTGATAGTGCCGACTGCGTGGCGTGTTTTAGCCTGACATCGCGTTGGTGTTCTTTTATCCGTAGGTTGACCATTCTCCCGGTTTCTCCGATGTATACTTGCCCGCAGGATCTGAACACGGAGAAAACCCGCGAAACGCAAGATTGTCACATAGGTAACACCCGTGAAAGCCTCAAGAATATTATTAAATCATCTAGATTTTTCACGCGTAAGTAATCAAAAACACGTCATGTTCTTCACATTCTGATTTAACTTCGCCGAACAATGAATGTGACACATCTATTTTCCTGCGAGACACATAACCTAATTCTCTGGTGATATCGGTGCAAATGTAAGAACATTGGGAGGCCGTATCAATAATTGCTCTGACCATTTTTTCGCGCGACGCGGAATACACCTTCACCCGAAGAGTCTGTAGGCAGATATCCGGTCTTTCGCAGAAGGTGGCTAAATTATGTTCGTCCGCCGTTTTCTTATTGTCGTCCGATTTGTTCGCGGGCGCGAGTTCTTTGCGAGATAGGTCCGGACATATCAATAACACATGTCGTTTCGTACACCAATCGCATTTTAACTTCGTTCTACATTTTTGCGCAATGTGACCGCGAATCAAACAATTCAGGCAAGCATTCTCTTTTTTAACGATATCTTTACGCTCGTCTAACGATAACTTACGTGCCTTCTCGCAAGCGAGACTCTCGTGACTCGATTTACAGAATATACAAACCGCTTTCCTTGGTTCCTTGGAAACGAGAAGGATGCTCGCGCTTGCCACTTCCTTGGATGATTTCGTCTTGCTCTTCGGCTTCTTGTTTTTTTCTTACTCCGTCGGTAATCTAAATCCCGTCAGTGCCATATCAATGCATTCCTCGTTTTCCACTTTCAACTGTAGAAATTTCAGCAATCTCGCTAGTCGATCAGTAGTTTCCTGTTGTTCCTTCTTTTCTGTCCTCTCTTTGCCCACTTCGTTGCCATGCTCGTAGGACTTCTTCGGGGAGGGACGACTCGACCAGAGGGTACAGCATAGCCGCGCATTTGTCCGTTGTTACACCAAGTATCTCTAACGCGCGGATGTAGCACTCGACTTTATCGTAGATGCCGGAGAGTGCCAATTTCTTGTTTCCCTTTAAGGCGTTCTGTAATACTAGACCCAGAAGTTCGCGGACGTAAAATTCTAGCACAATGTCATCTCGTCCGAAACGATTTTTTAAACTCGTTATTGCTTTAACGTAATTCTCTCCCGTGGGAGAAAAGCTTTTCACGAGTTCACTCGCGCGTGATTCTGGAACCGTAGCTTGCAGCAAATATTGGAACTTGTCTTCGTGGCTTATGGAGGGATCTTCATGTATTTTCTTGAATTGGCTACAAAAAGGCAGCCATTCCTTAATATTACCGCTAAATTTTGGTAATTCGAGCTTGGGGAACTTTGACGTCTTCGCAGTGTTATTCGGTATCGTTCTTGACACGCCTTCGGTCATCGCAGACATCACAGTCATTATTCTCATTTTCGCCGTCAGATACTGCGACTTGTACGTATCATCCGACTCTAATTCTTTTGTGATTACCTCGACGTCTAAGTCTGATTGGAAGAGCGCTTGGTTATATGCCGAATGCATCGTGTCTAGTTCCGTCATTTTGGTTTCTAAGAACTGGAATGCTACCATCTTATCTTCTTTCGAGCAGTCGCTATTCATCTTTGTAGTGAATGCTGTGAGTGCTTTAGTGAAGGCCATTCGAAAGACTTTTCTCTGTTTCTTAACGGCGTCCATCTTGTCTTCCGCTGCCTTGCACACACGTCGATTTCGCACTAGACCCTGATATCAAAATGAAACGACTCACTATCTTTTTTATCCTGTCACGGTCGCCAAATGTCAAGTAAGGATTCAGGGGCACGGGGATTTGCTCGTTCAATAAGTATCACAGATCTCCTTTTACTCGAATACAAGCTTTATTGTCTCGCACGTCCAACAACGACAATGATCACGCTCTCGCTCGCACGCTATATGCGCTTCCCGCTGGAAACGCCACGCCTCTTAGAGTTCGGGAACTACACCCGGTCAGGTCGGTTTTTTTTACCGTCCGGAACACGCGGGCTCTACTGCCTTCCTTTATTATTTTCATTCCCTTTTTTTGTGATGACGCTTTCCGAGAATAAATTCTTTCTAAATTCGGCGGGAATGTAGAGCACTTCGTTTATTGTGGATTCATACCACTTGTCGTTGATTACCTTTTCGATTTTGATCGTGCCTTTTCCTTTGACTGAAATTGTGCGGTTGTTTTCAAGGGTAACCACTTGCTCTTGTATCTCTTGAAATGTGGAGAAAAAATCCCGACGATAGCATGTGTGCTGATTCACCACTGTCCATGATCCATGATTTTTCTGGATTTGTCGTCTAATACGCTGCTGCACTGCATTGAATGCTGTCATATTTCCCAGATTGTTGCTCTTCGTTTTGTCATTGTTTCCACGATTTCCATTCGTCTTTGGCGGAGCACGGTAATTTTTTGCAAAATGCCCCTTTTTATTGCAGTTGAAGCACACTACATTGAGTTTGGAAGATTTTCTTTAAGTGTTTTTCTTCTTTTCCGCAACTGTGCTGAGAGCAGTTTCACTGGTCTCGTTCGCATCTAAACGCGCTTCTTCGTCAAGTAGCCGCGCCATTAGATTGGCTATGGTCTGTTTGGTCTCGTCCAATGAGAGCCATGCTTGCCGAACGCCGTTGTATTTGAGCGGAATACTCCCTAGTATCTTTGTCATTATGGCGCTGTCGCTGATTGGTTCTTCTTTGTCTCGTATTTCTTGCGCAAGGTTCTCTACCTTTGCTATATGCTGCGAGATCGAGTCAGAGCTTTCCATCTTATATTGATAGAACTTTTCATGCACCAGCATCTTGTTCAATTCGGTCTTTTGCTCGTAGATGGAGTTCAGCTTTTGTAGAATCTCCTTCGAGCTCGTGCAATTCTGTATCAACGTGACTTGCGAGAATTCCATGGCGGACGTTATGATGTACATGGCGGCAGCATCCTTCTTCAACCATGTTTTCAGCTCTTCGGCTCTTGCGGCGTTTCCCGGATCTGGCTTTATCAAGGTGCCCATCACTATCTTGTCGACTTCCTTTGCACGCAGGGCACACATTAATTGAAACTTCCACTGTTGATAGTTCTTTCCATCGAATTTTGCCATATGTAAAATTTCTAGCTTTTCTACCATCTTGAGCTATTCTGTGTTTCGGCGATGAATGTACATGCGACTCTTAACTTGCACGGTTCTACAGTAGACGTCACAAGCTGAATCTTGATCGATTCTTTCTTACTGCAGTTCGGTGAAGACAAAAAAAACTTCACTTGTAACTCGAAGCCTGTTCTTCTCATTTATCTTGCACATGTGTCTGGGCCCATAACCTGTTGAGGCGCAGCTTGGATAGAACAGGTTGTATCGAGAAACAACCATGAATGTACGTTATTAACGCAGTTTAATAGCAGATATAATACAAACGTAAAGGTAAAGAAAAACTGAACTGAAAAGATATACGTTCGCGACTTGTATATATATTGGCTCGCGAACTTGGAAAACCGAGAGATGATAAAAAAAAAAACCGAGCAGCCGAGAGAGTTTCCGTCGTCAGAACTGCAACGCCATTGATGTCAGCGCTTTAGTGACTTTCGACCCGTCCTGTCAACTAGCTTAGCGTGCTGCGTCGGTAATGTTAAACGGATGAGTTAGAAGTCGTTTATTATCTCAACAAATATTTTCACTCAATAAGTTATCTAAAATTTCCTGCAATTTCTGTTTATCAGCATACGAGAGTCTACGCGGACGATAGCTAATCGATTGATCATGTTTTAAGTTAACCACTAATTCTACATCGGATGGAGGGGTTACAATGGCCTCACGTTTCTCTAGATATTCATCTTGGAATAAGTTTTTCACTTCTTCTCTAATTCGGTAATCTATCCGCGGATTAACCTTCAAATCTTCAACGACCATCGCCGGTCCAGA